TGGTGTACAATATATCCCCCACTGAAATATTAGCCCCCGTTTATTTTTTTCCTCAATTTCTGTTTAACAGAGAGAGGTTTTTTTTTTTATTACTAATTTCTAAACATAAATGTCAATAACTCATCATTAATAACTTGATTTATTTTATCTTTCCCATGATGACAGTAAATACTATTTGACTAGATATTCTTCAAGACACTTCTATACAGCTTAAAGTGACATTTAAAGGCTTAACTAGGCTAACTAGTCGGGTTAAGGTAATTGGGCAAGTTATTGTATAACAGTGGTTTGTTCTGTAGACTATCCAGAACAAAGAATTCCTACAGGGGGCTAATAATATTGACTTTAAAATGGGTTTAAAAAAAATCAAAAAGTACTTTTATTCTAGGCGAAATAAAACAAATAAGACTTTCTTAAGAAGAAAAAATATTATAGGAAATACTATGAAAAATTCCTAAATCCGGTCAACATCATTTGGCAAACATTTGAAAAAGAGAAAAAAATCACAGGAGGGCAAATTATTTGGACTTCAACTGTATGTTTGACAATTTGTTAATGAAGGGCATTTCTATTATTGCTATCAGGCAGTTACTTCGTACCCGGAACAACAGCCTGTCCAATGACCAGCGACAAAACAGCTGTGAGGCTCCTACCACCCCTGAGGAGGCGGGGTTTGGAGAAGGAACTGTGGTTAAGCAAAGACGAGGTCAAGGTAAGTTACAGACAACTAATAGACAGAAACAGATGTTTTATAGAGAACACACACAACACAACACAGTCTTACCCTATAAATTAACCTGAACTAAGTGTAACAGAAGCCAATTTTTTGATGATTGCATATAGTGTTGTGCAATATAACCATTTATATACGGTATGGACAAAATAAAAAGTCTAATGTTTAATATTATTATGCTTAATTGTTTATATTGTTTTGTCATGAAATGCATTATTTACATTAATACTTTTTTATAATTAACATACATGCAATATTAAATTATGGGATGCAGACAGAAACATGAAGAGCATCATGAGAAAGTTGCAATCTAGAAAGTACGGTGTTAACATTTTGCATGTTATATAGGGATATTTTTATTTTTATGTTGAATCTGTTATCATTCGTTTTTGAAAAGTGTTTAATATTTTATTATTATTTATTTTATATTTCTACATTTTCTTATAAAAGTGAGAATTATGATCACTTATAAATGAGTATATGCTTCAAAATGTAAAAAAAAATATATATGTATAAATTTATAAATTTAAATATATAAATTTATATGTAGTTAATAAATATCATTGATTTAATTGACAGAAATGGTACTATATCATAATAACCATTGATATATACAGTATATTGATAATCGGTAACACTTTACAGTAAGGTTGTATTAGTTGATGTAAGTTAATGCATTTACTAACATGAACAAACAACAAACAACACATTTATTACAGTATTTGCTCATGTTAGTCAATGAAAATACAGTCATTCATTGTTAGTTCATGTTAACTCACAGTGCATTAACTAATGTTAACAAGCATGAATTTGGATGTTAATAATGCATTAGTAAATGTTGAACAACAATTAATAAATGATGTACAATTATGTTTATGTTAGTAAATACATTAACTAATGAAACCTTATTGTAAAGTGTGACCTGATAATCAATGATATATATATATATATATATATATATATATATATATATATATATATATATATATATTGTTATCAGGATATGAGACGTATGTCTTATATTGTGAAATTAGATTATTTTTTTACATCATTGCCCAGCCCTATTTGCATGCACAATAAAATAAATAGTGAAGAAGTGTGTGCTGTTTTGTCTCTGTAGTTCGGGATCACCATCAGGCTCATAAGTCCTGGCCCTCCACACTGAGTGACACTGACAGTGTTGGTCCTGGAAGTGGACTGGGCTCTCCCACCAACAGCACTGGTCTGTAAAAAAATGTCAGCTTTATACAATTAATGAGTAAAAACACTTCAATAAAATAATATCGTTTAATGTTTTGATCTTAGGAGACATCTCAAAGCCGTCAAGGCCAGTGTCTGCGGCCACTTTATCATCCAATGAAGATTTAGAGGAGAGAGATGGTGCCATGACCCAGTTCGAACAAAGTAAGTAATCGATTACAAGTCAGTTCCTTCATTTATTTTCCTTCAGCTCAGTCCCTTTATTAATCAGGGATCGCCACAGTGGAATGAACTGCCAACTTACACAGCGAATGCCCTTCCAGCTGCAACCAGTACCGGGAAACACACATACACACTCATTCACACACTCATGCAGTGTAGCCAGTGTAGTTCATCAATTCCTCTATAGCGCATGTGTTTGGACTGTGGGGTAAACCGGAGCACCCAGAGGAAACCCACGCTAACACGGGAAGAGCTTGCAAACTCCACACAAAAATGGCACATTTTTGAGATTTGTTCCTATCTATTTTCTGATCACACACACCAAACTTTAAACTTTTCTTTTATTAATTATTAATTGTAATAATTAATTATTATTATTAATGTGTCTGGATGTTTGTTGTGTTTTAGGCATAAATGGGATTGAACCAGAAATCGTGGCTCCCACTGGACCATTCAGAAACGTTGGATTGTCCAAAGCTGCAAAAACCCATCGGCTGCGCAAACTTCGCACGCCATCCAAGTGTAGAGAATGTGACAGCTACGTTTATTTCCAGGGTGCAGAATGTGAGGAGGTGAGACTGAAGATAGCCCAATAGGCAGGGTTGATTCATTTTTGGTAGCCCAAATGGACAACATAATAGCCCTGGGACGTCAGGCTAGCAGTTTTGCGAACCCTGTTTGTTAGTCAGTCAGTCAGTCAGTCAGTCAGTTAGTTAGTTAGTCAGTTAGTTAGTCAGTCAGTCAGTCAGTCAGTTAGTTAGTTAGTCAGTCAGTCAGTCAGTCAGTCAGTCAGTCAGTCAGTCAGTCAGTCAGTCAGTTAGTTAGTTAGTCAGTCAGTCAGTCAGTCAGTTAGTTAGTCAGTCAGTCAGTCAGTCAGTCAGTCAGTCAGTCAGTCAGTCAGTCAGTCAGTCAGTCAGTCAGTCAGTCAGTCAGTCAGTCAGTTAGTCAGTCAGTCAGTCAGTCAGTCAGTCAGTCAGTCAGTCAGTCAGTCAGTCAGTCAGTCAGTCAGTCAGTCAGTCAGTTAGTTAGTTAGTTAGTCAGTTAGTTAGTTAGTTAGTCAGTTAGTCAGTCAGTCAGTCAGTCAGTCAGTTAGTTAGTTAGTTAGTTAGTTAGTTAGTCAGTTAGTTAGTTAGTTAGTCAGTCAGTCAGTCAGTTAGTCAGTTAGTTAGTTAGTCAGTCAGTCGGTCAGTTAGTCAGTCAGTCGGTTAGTTAGTCTGTTAGTCAGTTAGTTAGTCTGTTAGTCAGTTAGTCAGTCGGTTGGTTAGTTAGTCAGTCAGTCAGTTAGTTAGTTAGTCAGTCAGTCAGTCAGTCAGTCAGTCAGTTAGTCAGTCAGTCAGTCAGTCAGTCAGTCAGTCAGTTAGTTAGTCAGTCAGTCAGTCCGTCAGTCAGTCAGTCCGTCAGTCAGTCAGATAGTCAGTCAGTCAGTCAGTCAGTCAGTCAGTCAGTCAGTTAGTTAGTTAGTCAGTCAGTCAGATAGATAGTCTGTCAGTTAGTTAGTCAGTCAGTTAGTTAGTCTGTTAGTCAGTCAGTTTGTTAGTCAGTTAGTTAGTCAGTCGGTTGGTTAGTTAGTCAGTCAGTCAGTCAGTTAGTTAGTCACTCAGTCAGTCAGTCAGTTAGTCTGTTAGTCAGTCAGTCAGTCAGATAGTTAGTCAGTCAGTCAGTCCGTCAGTCAGTCAGTCCGTCAG